AGAAAAAGTAAATTACTTTATAGGTCATGAAATTATGGGGTCAATTCTATTTTTACTTAAACTTTCAATTTTTTTCAATTCTATTAATGAAATTTTATATAATAACACATTATATTCTACCAATTTAGTCATAATTAGGATAATAACATATTTGATCATTTACTTATATAATCTATCAATTTTTGTCCTTTATTTTTAATTAGAAATGGTTTGTTGAATTTAATCCTCTAATAAAAATGATGATCAATTTACAAGGAAATATTAAATTGAAAATAAATAGGATGTGTTACTTATATAATCTATCAATTTAATATTTATTTATAAATTAAAATTTCCAAATCATCGTATTCTTCTTTTTCTCTAATCTTCAAGTATCAAATTTCTATAATTTGCCCTACTCTTTCTTTAATTCGCCATCGTAATCGAGATTTGAAATCAATAAAGAAAGTTTAAATTTCTTTCAAATTTATTATTTTTATCATATTTTCACATTTTTCAATTTTTTAACCTATGAAAATATAATGCTGATGTCGAATTGGGGTTTTGTTTTTAAAACAAAAACTTTTTATGATTAAATGATTGTTGTCCCCTAAATGGTTTCACATGTAACTCGTTTTTATTAAGAAAAGGACGTGGTTGAAAAATTCATTAAAATTTGCACCAAACCCTAATTTTCCTATAAAATTTGTCACCTAAACGGTAAACAAATTTTCAAGAATAATTTTGAAAATAAGGATAAAGTTAAAATTACAATTATTACATTAAATACGTCACAAAGGCTGAGATAAACGTGTCATAAAGACAGAGAACGTGTCACAAAAGATATAATTATTCTTATTAAAAACTAAAAAGAAAAAAAAAGAAAACCAACGGGAGGCAATCAACATTAAAATCGGTGCCGCCGTTGGTTAAATAAATTAAAGAAGAAAAAGTTGGATTGATCAATAAAATTGACACAAATTATAAAAAAAAGCGAGTAGAAGAAAGCGGATAGAGTTTTATATTAGAAGATTTTTTTTGGATAATTTGATTTTATTACCCAAAGAAAGAGTAAATACCAATACAACTGCAGAAAGCAAATCAAAAATAAACAACACCCTACAAGCAACCTAAGCAAAACAACTCAAGAAGGACAACTAAAAGAGAAGCAAACAGCAAGTAGTAAATATCAAAACAGCAAACAGCAAAATTAGAAAAGGAAAACAACCCGCAAACAACCACCACAAAGGGACCTCTCGCATGTCTACAGGCAAGAGACCAACAGATCATAAGCAAACATCAAGCTAGCCGATGTTCCAGTCAAGGCAAAGTTGAGAATTAACCCTATCAGCTTTGTTAACGCTGCAATCATGCAACTTAACGCTGACTGTCCGTTTGATAACCTCAAAGACCTCATCAATCGCCCGAAAGCAGTCTCTAAAGTGTCTGAGATTACGTTCTTCCCAGACAAAGTACAGAAGACTAGTCCAAGCTAGCTTCAGAATGCAGACCAGCAAGGATTTCCCCTTAAGATTGCTGGCAGCCCAGACCAAGGTATCATCCCAACACAGCACCCTATAGGGAAATATTAGAAGATTTTAACATTATTGAATGTAAAAACATATTATTTAAATTACAAATCATTAATATAATGTTATAAATGTAATATTTATATATATAAAATATCAATATTATGCATGAATTTAAACTCCTCGGATTTATTCGACCCATTGAGAAAATCATGCATGACAGACGGTTCCCATATTAATCATTACTTCCAACCATGAAAATTGAACTCCACGGCTGTTTAGTTGACAAACGGCACTGCTTTCCTGTTTTGTCGACAGTTAATCATATATTTTTCAATTTGCGATGACGATTATCTTGATTTCATTTGTGTTTTTATTAAACATAAAACCTAACTTATTAAGAAGATTATCCAATAATAATTATTATTATCAAACATAAGCTTCTTTGTTTTCCCTCAATTTCTCCGTGACTCGTGTTGATTGTAAATTATTATCTCGGAATAAGGTAAATTACGTGTTTAGTATTTAAAATATTAGTTTTGATTCTTTTTAGTACATAAACTTTTATTTTTTAAAAAAAATTATACTTAAAGTTTATTTTTTTGTTTTATTTTAATATCCCGCCGTTAAATTTTTTTGTTTTTGTTTCATTTTAGTACCCCGTTTAAGATTTAACATTAAGTTTGAAAAAATTGAAAGTTTAGGTACTAAAATGGACCAAAAATGATAGTTTAGGTACTAAACATGTTAAATTTTTAACTACGAAGTACTAAAATGAAATGAAAACTAAACGTTGGGTATGATTTTGAAAAAAAATATTAAAGATTAGATACTAAAACGGACCAAAATTGATAGTTTGGATACTAAATGTCTAGTTTACACCCAAAATAATAATATTAAGGTAAACTATCTATGCACAAACTAAAAGGTCTCAGTTGTAATTGAGTTGTTATTATTCTTTAAGATCTTAGGTTCGGGTACCATGAATGCTGGAGGTATACACGTTCTATGTCAAATGGTTAATAGTTATCTTTGAACATATATTATCTTATACTTACCATAGATTAATAAAAAAATGAGATAATTACCTATTTGATCACCCTCTTATATTTTTCTCAATGTTGACATGACATTGTCTTATAATGATACATCAACAACACCATTAATTTTCAACGATGAGTGACCAAAATAGAACTAAAACGTAATATTAGGCTTGCTTTTGAAAAAAATGATAATAAATAGATGACCAAAACAGAAACTAAATAATAGATGGATGTCCAAATAAATAATTTACCCGGTAAACTACGCATTTAATTCCTAAACTATCAATTTTAGTCTGTTTTAGTACCTAAACGTTCAATTTTCTTAACAAAATACCTAACATTTAGTTTTTGTTTCATTTTAGTACCCCACCATTAAAAATTTAATGCATTTAGTACTTAAACTATCAATTTTGGTCTGTTTTAGTACCTAAACTTTCAATTTTTTTTAAAACTTAACGTTAAGTTTTTAACGGGATACTAAAATGAAACAAAAATTAAACGTTATGTATGATTTAAAAAAATTAGGTACTAAAATAAACCAAAACTAAACTAAAGTTACTAAACGCGTAATTCACCCAAATATTTATCTATCGCATGTTTACGAATATTTTAGGCATAATACCTTAAAATTCCCTTAACATTTGGTTAAATAATTATTTTACCTTTTTTTTAGAGTATTTTAGCCTTAAATATTTTATTTTAGGACAAAAGGTTTCTAACTTTTAACTAAATAGTCACTTTAATTTATTTTTTAGCACTTTAACCTGAACATTTTATTTTAGAAAAGAAAACTCTATTTCGATATACTTTAATTATTTGTTAACTGCGATTTTCATCGACATAAGGATCTTTTATCCCAAATACTCTAAAAATAATTAAATCCAAAATAATTATTTAGATTGTCAAATCATGAAGGCACTATTCCTTGGATGTTTGCCCCAAATTCATTGAACAATCTTTGGAGTGAAGTGTATCCTACATTCTTTTGCTATGTTGTTTCAACATCCAATATGATGATAATTTTATTTAAATAATTAATTAATTAATTCCACTCAGGTTTATAATACGTAAAACACAATATAAATACTCTTTAATATAAAATAAATATTTAAATTATACCCATTCTCTATTTAAATTCTTTTTAATTAAAGTATGAGACTATCGTTTTATAAATCCAAAATATTTATCCCAATATACTTTGTTGGCAAAAATCTATCTATATTCAAGGTATCAATTTTTAAAATTTTTAGTATTCTCTTTGTCTTATTAAATCTGTTAATTTTTTACTTTTTTTAGTTAAATTTTTTTAACTTTAGCTTAGTATTAATTAAAATTTATTATTAATAAAAATATATTTTAAAAACCTTAAATCAAATAGTTTTCAAATATATATTTTATAAAATTTAATTATTTTAGATATTTAAAATAATCATAATTAAAATTTAAAATTTTGACTTTTTAAAAGTCGATAATGGACGCAATTAGTAGGACAAAGGGTGTACTAAAATACTTTAATTTTGCATGTGACGACGAGTTGAGTAAAAAAATAAAGAGTAAATTGTATGTTTAGTACCTAAATTTAGTTTTTGTTTTATTTTATTATTCCATTCAAAATTTAGTGTTAAATTTTGAAGGGAAAAATCTAAAGTTTAGGTATTAAAACGGATAAAAATGATAGTTTAGATACTAAACGCGTTATATTTTTAATAATAAGATAAAATGAAATAAAAAATAAACGTTAGATATAATTTAAAAAATAAAAATTTAAGTATGATTTTTAACGATCGGTGGGAAAATAATTACGAAATAAAATGTTACGTATCCACTTTAACAAAAGGAAAAGTTTAGGTATCTTCACAAATATGTATATATACTGAAAAAATATTTTATATTATAACCAATTATCAACTTTGATCCTAATTGTCTTTATCGTCCACGAGGGATGAGAAGGTGGAGAATGGTCCTAATGCTTTGGAGAAATTATTAAATGGTATCGGCTCACTACTTTATTCGTAGTTTTAATTAATAATATTTTTTATATTATTTTTTAGGTGAATTTTCACTTCTTTTCTACGTGTAATTAAGAGGTGAATGATTATGTAGAAATTAATTTAAAATTTATGAATATCATTCATTAAGATCATGAATGACGTGGTAAGCCGAATTTATGAAATGATTTCTCCATGGTTTGCTTCGTATCTAACAAAAAAAAAAAGTGATGTCAACCACCCACGTCACTTACTCTAACTTGGCCGTCACGCCCGAATTGACCCACGTGTCCATTATACCTTATAGTAGGACTCACAAGACAACGAATAAGCATTATAATGCCATGTCAGCATCCTTTGCCACTTGTCAAAAATGTTTTAATTACAGTTAACCCCCTCGCTTTCGGTTCTTCTCGTTATAAAAGGTTCTTTGCCCTGCATCCCAACACTTGCATAACAGAGTGAAAAACAGAGGAAACTCTTACATAGACCTTAAAGAACACGATGGATTACTTCCTTTTTCACTCCCCGAATTCGAATTGTTCATCGGAATCCTCGTTGGGGTCATCGGAGTTTTTCCCGATGGATCACAGTTCCCTTCCTTTCAACGAGAATGACTCCGAGGAGATGCTTCTGTACGGGCTGCTAGCGGAGGTTAAGCAAGAGACCCCGGAGGTCAGTTCGACGGAGGCGGAAATCGCGACGAAAGTAAAGGTCTACCGGGGCGTGAGACGGCGACCGTGGGGGAAGTTCGCGGCGGAGATAAGGGATTCGACCCGAAACGGGATAAGGGTTTGGCTCGGAACGTTCGACAGCGCGGAAGCAGCAGCTATGGCTTACGATCAGGCCGCTTTTGCGGTGAGAGGCTCGGCGGCGGTGCTCAACTTTCCGGTGGAGAAAGTGAGGGAATCATTAAAAGAAATGAAGTGTAGCCAGGACGAAGGGTGTTCGCCGGTGGTGGCTTTGAAGAGAAAACACTCGATGAAGAGGAAGATGACAAGCAGAAGCAAGAGAGAAAGAGACGGCCGCGGCGGCGGCGACGGCAGTGTGAGGATAAACAATGAGGTGGTATTTGAGGACTTGGGGGATGATTTTTTGGAGCAACTTCTCACTACTACCGATCAAGCAGCTACACCTTGGTGAATCAAATACATATACATTTATAATATATGTCGTTGTTCATCTACTTCTAGTTTGTCATTAATTTTTCCTCTTCTTTTTTGCCTTAGTTTTTTGTGTTTTAGAACCTTCATTTGCTATTTGTAACTGTAAATAATTAAGGTTAGCATTTTAATTTTGAGTTTTTTTTATATAAAATTCATTGTAAATTAAAAAAAAATCAAATCGGAGTCATTTTAATAAATAAAAAATTCACCAAACATAGCATGATTATATGGATGACGCTTCTAGACAGACTCTCAATTAAAGAAAAACTCCTTAGAATGGAATTGTTACTGATGGCTCATGTATAATCTGCAAAGAGGCAACGGAGACTAGGGATCACCTGTTCAGTGATTGTACTCAAGCAATTTCCACATGAAATAATATTCTTAATCTCTCTAGTTTAGGCAATCCTCATTTACCACGGGTGACCATGTTAGAATGGGCTATAGTGCTTGGAAAGATAAGTCCATTCTCACTACAATCTTGAAACTTGCTTGGTGTGCTTTTATTTATTCCATTTGGGAGGAAAGAATTAGAAGATTATACTGAGGAAGCACAAGAAGTGTCGAAGAAATTGTGAACTCTATTAAGGAGATTGTAGGTATTCAATTAAGAGGAATGAATATAAATAGTTTAGATAGTATGAATATTTACCTTTGTAATCGTTGGGGAGTTTAACCATCGATTTTATTTGTGTTATATAATTAATTATAGTAATCCAAACGGTCCAAGCTATAATATAATTAAACTTGTAACATTTAAGAAAATGGATGATAAAACTAATTAGTTTATAATGTAATAGTCCAATGATTTTCCTAATTACTATTTCAGTCTAATTTTCAAAGTGAAAGGAAGCTTCCGGCTGAATCTGCCCTAATAAAATTCTTTGAATTGTTATCAATTGCATAATTATATCTAACAGTTTATCGGAAGATAAAGATGACCTAACCTTATTGTTTTTTAATTAATATAAAAAGAGGGCTTTTAATTGGATAAGAATTCTTTTTATTTATATTAACCATACAAATTTTTTTACGAGAGGAATACAAATAAAATTTTAAGATTGATATAATCAATATAATTAGTAATTAATAAAATAGTATTCGAATTCTAAATATTTTTAGATTCGAATAGTTTTGGGATTGTTATTTTAAATTGGCTTAACACCATAATAAGTGCCCAAACTATAACGTTTTTCCCAAATGGGTGCCTAAACTAATTTTCGTCGTGTCTAACGTTACAAATATTACCCATTTATGTGACTGGGCTGATAACAGTGTTAATTTCCTCGTTAAATGATACGTGTCACAACCTGGTAATTTTAAAATTTTTATTAAAGATTAAAAAAATTAAATTATATATATATTTTTAAAAATAAAACTTTGAAAACCTTCATTTCAACATCTAAACCCAAGTCAATTGTAGCCTTTTGCCGTCAACGATGCCCCACCCAACCTCCCCTCCCCCGCAGACTAAAAGTCCCATTAAATTGACTAATTGACGGCCTATCGACTACAAATCAACGTTTTAAACCACTCGACCCTAGGATTAAAATCGTGATACCACGCGATTTTAACGACCAATCGACAGAAACTACGACGGTGTATGAATAGGAAGATGGCAAGGAATACATCGGTGGCAGTGGTCGTGGACGGAAAGACCGACAGCGACAAATTAAGGTTTGGGTTTTAAATTATAGGGTTGCTTTATAATAATAGAAAAGTTATTTTTTTATAAATATCATAATAGTTTTAATATTTTATTTTAAAAAATAAATTTTAAAGCCACCAAATTATGACACGTGTCACTCAATGACAAAAATTAACGTCGTTGATGGCTCGGGAACCTAAATGGGCAACGTTTGAAACGTTAGACACCTGGATGAGACGAAAACTAGTTTAGGCACCTATTTAAAAAAACAGTATAGTTTGGGCACTTATTTTAGTATTAAGCCTTTTAAATTTCAACTTCTTATCTTTGATTTCGGATTGAATGAGTTTAGAAAAATTCAAATTAATTTGAAATTTTATAAGATATTTTTAGGGTATATTACTTATTTAGTCACTTACTTTTATCACACTTTTGTTTTGAGTATCTAATTTTAAAAATTTCCATCTTGATCACTTAAATTATGAATTTCATGATTTTATCACTCAATTGCTAAGAGTATAACGTCATTTATTTATTTTTAGATAAAATTATGAAAAAAAGCCCTTGAAACTTTACTCTTAAACTTAGTTTTTTAGAGTTTCTTTGATTCATCAATGTTGAAATCTTTTGTTCCAAATTTGAATGGTAAAGAGGTTGAGAGGGAAAAAATATAGTTCAAGAGAACTTCGGGAAAAAATAATCTGAGAATAAGAAGATAGAGAGAGAAATGAGAATTTTATTGTCAACTACGTCGCACATGATGATCGATGACAATAACTGTCATACAGTGATGGAAAAAAATACCGATAATGGGAAAAATAAAATATTATATTAATTTATAAATAAAACTGCTCAAAATCCAGCAATTTTCTATTGTAATCACATAACCGTTGGTTTTGCGATTAAAAATAAATTTTGAAAGTTTGTTGGTAAAGTTAAAAAAAGAATAAGTGACCAAAACAAAATATAATAAAAATTGAGTGACTAAATACATAGTTTACTCATTTTTTTTATTTTGATCGTCGTAAATAAAACCAATACTTTTGAGAAATATTTTTCTTCTGCTTTCGTCATCACTGACATCCTTTCTTTTGTCTTCTTCCTAAAATTCACAACTTTTACTCTTATATATAATTATTTTTTATTCTTAAATTTTTCATGTTTATTTCAGCTCATTATGGTAGAAAAATATAATTATTTTTATCCTAAAATTTATATATTTTCATAAATAAATTCAAATAAAAATATTTTTTTGGTCGATCGTGTTAGCCAAGGAAGACAGTCCAATTATAAATTAATTAATTAATTATTTCACGTGGTCGTTGATTGTGACCATTAAAGCCCAAAGACGTTGGCCAGAATCTACTTTAGTCAATTCCAAAAAGGGTATTTGATTTCATGAAATTCATGATAAAGTGTTAATTGTTCGTGATCAAAATAATAATATATTTGTACGAATTAAGTGGTCTATATCACTGTATGGTAAAAGAATTATTGTTATTTTTTGAAGATTCGAGTTCGAGCATTATAGATGCTAGAGGTGTGAGCGTTTAATGTAAAAAAGTTTAGAGTTATCTTTGAAGATATATTACCTTATACTTACTCCAGATTAATAAAATAATAATATAGTTTGTTTCAATTTCATTGTATAATGGTTAAATGAATTTGGTCATAAATAAAAAAAGGTAAACTTTTAAATAATTATAATTGTATCAATAAGGAAGTTGTGCTTAATGTCTCTTGTTGCTATATCATCGAAATAAACATAAATAATGTGATATTAGTATAGAATAAGAGAGACATAAGAGATCTGATTTGATTTAATGTAGTTTAAAGTTATATATTTTTACGTGTGAGAAAAACAATAACTCACTATAAACATAAAGATCACAAAGAGTACAGATATATGATATTTCATATATCTCGGCACTCGGTATTTATATTAAAATTTAGCGTCTCACAAATCACTTTCTCGAATCACTATAAAAATAGAGATCACGAAAAATACAAGTACATAATATCTTATGTATTCCAAAACTTGTTATCAATACCAAAACTTAATGTATCATAAATCACTCATCAACGTAAACCCCAAAAGTTACATATATTTTAAAATTATTATCTCTCTAAAATAATTTTCTCTCGTAATTCTAAAACTATAACATACTCTCTTTATTTATAGAGCTAAATATTGTCACCGATAATTTTTATACAAAGATTCTTAATTAAATAAACGTAATCATCAAGTAATCTTATTTAACCCTAAAATTCCATTTATGTTTATCTCATATGAAACTTTTCTATTATTTATTATGTGTCCACCCTAAAAAATATTTATAAATCCGCCACTCTGAGGATGGACCAAGGCGGGGACGGGGAATCTTCTTCTAAAAATTTAAAATTATCATATATTTTAAATTTTTTTATGTATTTTCTATTGAAAATCTATTTTTCCATCTACAATTAGTTTAAGTTCACCCCCTAATATAATGCATCCGTCCCATGTTGTCTCAATATCCAAAACTTCTCTATTTCCTCAGCTTTCCGCCCCGAAATCCTGCCGGTGAACAAATCCCACCGGAAAAATCCTCTCAGTAACAATTCAGGCATTATGAATATAACGCAAGATTTGAGGTCAGTTCACCTCTCACCAATAGATGAGGTCTTCTTCCTGTTCAGTCATTTTCATAAGCAAACTAATAGATGATCAAGCTTCGGTTTAGGCCCACATTCTATGGAATATATATATCTATACGTAAGTGGTTGATAGGGGTAGTTGAGCGGCAAAAACAACAATATGAACATGACATGTCATGTTTCTTCTTTGGTCCTGTCGTCGCCGTTTTGTTTAATGTCTTGAAATAAAAGCTCAGTGACGGGTTCACCAATCCTGAACAACTGTTGCCATGACAAAAACCAAGTAGTTAACTTTGTAAGATTAATGAAAAATAAAGATCCATTCAGTGGTGTATCCAAAAATATTTTTCAAGGTGGATATACGTATGTTAACGATATAAAATTTTTAAATAGAATAGGTACAAATGAAATTTCAGGTAGTTGAGCGGCAAAAACAATATGAACATAGCAGATCATGCTTCTTTGGTCCTATCGCCATTGTTCTGTGTCACGTCCTAAAATAAAAGCTTAGTCACGAATTCTACAAACCTGGAAAATTGTTGGCAAGACAAAAGCCAAGCTGTTTCTTTGTTTTAAACTCGTCTTCTCCCGTCATCGATACCCCAGATTCCTTTCTCAATCTCTTCACCAATTTTCTTTTGTATCTTTCTTTTTCTTCCTCATAATCTCTGAATTCACAACACTATTGATCGAGAGAGTTAAAAGTTTGGGAAACAGAAAGAGGAGTGAAGAAGATATGGCAGGCATTGTTATACCAGGTTCTTGTTCTTCAAGCTTGCTGTTTAGAAACAAAGAAGCAGGAGGCAATGGAGCTTCTCTTGCCCAGCACAATGGGCTTAGAGCTGTGGAGAGCATGCAGCTGCCTTCGTCTGGGATGACTAGACTGTCTTGTTCAGGTATTCGGATCATCTTTTACCTTGTTTCCATCTTCTTTCCTAATCAGAGATTTAAATTAGGCGTTACGGACCTACTTTCGATTGTTTTGCGTTTATCGATATTATATATAACGGATGTTATTACAATCATTAAGTATCATGATTGTACAATAATAATTTCTTAAGACACTGTTACCGCTTATGTTGCACGGGTACGACAATTCAATGCCGTTTGAAGTACCCAATATGTCCTTGAAATGGATACGGAACTGTTACAACTTGATACATATCGGGGACATCCCATGTTATTTTCACGTGGGTATTCATGGTTGTTTTTGAGATGTAATTTAAAAATGATTTTGAATAAGAAACTGAAGTTGAATTTGAAGTCTGAAATATTAGTTGATTTAACGACAAATTTTCGGATGAGGTCTTAGTATTTATGGGTTGAGATATCTTCTTGCGTATGGATCGTTTTTTTGTATCCTTTTTAACACATCTTGAATCGTCTCAATCGGAAGTCGAAAACTCATGATATATTCGTTTTAGCAAAAATAATGCAGACAAAAATCTTCATACGAGTCTAATACATAATTTTGCAGTAATTACGAATTTTAAATTTTACTTATATTTACCGTATCCTTATCATACTTATGCCGTGTAATTTTGAAAATTATCGTATTACGTCGTCGTATTTGTCCTTGTATCCATATTTGTCCTAGTTGGAGGTATAATGGAATCTCTATTTCTTCTCAGCTCCAAAACGAAGAACAATCAGGGCCATGGCATCACCAGCAGTCTCGGTTCCGAAGAGAGAAAAGGATCCCAAGAAACGAATAGTTATATCAGGGATGGGTCTGGTTTCGGTTTTTGGCAGTGACATTGATCAATTCTATAACAAACTTCTTGCTGGTGAGAGTGGTATCACAGAGATTGATAGGTTTGATGCTACAAGTTATTCGGTCCGATTCGCCGGTCAAATTCGTGATTTTTCGTCGAAAGGATACGTTGACGGGAAGAATGATCGTCGTCTCGACGATTGCTGGAGGTATTGCTTAGTTGCTGGACGAAGGGCACTCGATGACGCCAACCTTGGTTCTCAAGTCCTTGAAAAAGTAAGTTTTTTTTCAGTATTTTTTTGGTAAAATACACCAATTCCATTCAACTCTAACTGGTGTATCGTTTATATCACTAAACTTTCAATACCGTCAATTATAGCATCAAATTTTAACGGTGCGATGACATGGATGTATCTTTCCATCACTGTGATGATGTGGAGAAACCGACATCATTTTAGCATGATTATTGATGCTCAAAATGATGTCCTTTTAAGCACTGAACTTTAAGAGTGTATTGATTTTGTCATTAAATTTTTAAACAATTCATTTTTGCCACTGCACTTTTTCGGCCGTCGTCAGTAGTCAATCATTCTCCATCACCGGTCGTCTTTAAGATAAAATCAGTGAAAGACGTTTGAATTTCACTCCTCTTTCTTCTTCTAGGATTTGTTTTCTATGAAACTAACTTAAAATCGACAAAAACTCATTTAAAGGTTCGACAAACTGTTATTAAAATCTCTCATTTAAAGGTTCGACAAACTGTTTTCTATGAAGAGGGCTAGTTTTGAGTTATGTTGTTTGTCTTCTCAAAATATTACTTTTTTCCATTATGATTTTCGCACAAACACCCCAAATCCCTCAAAATTAAGAAATAAAAATGGTGACATTTTTGTTTAATTTCGTCGATTTTAAGTGGATTAATCATTCTTAGGAAAAAAAGAGAAGTGAAATGAGAACGTTTTGATATCATTCTTTCTACAAAAGAGGATCGATAATGGATTGTGATTGATTGTTTGCTGCAATTGGAAAAGTGCAATGACAAAAGTGAAAGATTTATATGTTTAATGGCAAAATCGATACATCATTAAAGATCAATGCCTAAAACGACATTGTTTTATGCATCAATGTCTGTACCAAATCGACATTATTTTGTCCATATCATCATACCGTTTAAATATTAACTGTTTAGTGACATAATTGAAGTCAAAACCATGTGGTGTACTTTATCCTATTTTTTTCTATGTTGACAAGCACTAAACGAACCCTTTCGTTGCCATAGATGGACAAAACTCGAATTGGGGTGCTGGTGGGCACGGGGATGGGAGGGCTCACAGCATTCAGCAATGGAGTGGAAGCCCTTATTCAAAAGGGATACAAGAAGATCACTCCATTTTTCATCCCTTACTCCATCACCAACATGGGATCAGCACTACTGGCTATAGACACCGGCTTAATGGGACCTAATTATTCCATCTCAACTGCTTGTGCAACCGCAAATTACTGCTTCTACGCAGCCGCAAATCACATTCGAAGGGGCGAAGCCGACATCATGGTAGCCGGTGGGACCGAGGCCGCTATCATGCCGACTGGGATCGGCGGGTTCATAGCCTGCAGGGCATTGTCTCAGAGAAATGACGAACCCCATAGAGCATCCAGGCCCTGGGACAAGGACCGTGATGGTTTCGTCATGGGGGAAGGCTGTGGCATACTTGTCATGGAGAGCTTGGAACATGCTATGAAAAGGGGGGCTAACATAATCGCCGAGTACTTAGGCGGCGCCATCACCTGCGACGCGCATCATATGACCGATCCCCGTTCCGATGGGCTCGGAGTTTCGTCCTGCATAATCAAGAGTTTAGAAGATGCCGGAGTTTCCTCCGAAGAGGTGAACTATGTAAATGCACATGCAACATCAACACTGGCTGGAGATTTGGCTGAGGTTAATGCAATCAAAAAGGTGTTCAAGGACACTTCTGAGATCAAAATGAACGGGACAAAGGTGATCAAAACAACAATTTTTTCTTTTATTACAAAAGTTAACGACTAAAGGGTTCGATTTTTTTCGAGTTTCAGTCGATGATCGGGCACGGACTCGGAGCTGCAGGGGGATTGGAAGCCATAGCAACAATAAAAGCAATAACAACTGGATGGCTGCATCCCACCATTAACCAAGATGTAAAAATCTCATAAACCTTGCTTATATTCATATCATTTTTTTAATCAATAACCTTGTATCATCTCTTCCATGAAGAACTTGGAGCCTGATGTGACAATCGATACCGTTCCGAATGTGAAGAAACAGCACGAAGTTAATGTCGGTACGTAGTTTTTCCGAAAAGGGTTTTTCACGTTAAATCTTAATGTCTATTTTATTATACGATCATTGTCACCGACGTCATCTTTCTCGACAGGAATCTCTAATTCATTTGGCTTTGGTGGACACAACTCGGTTGTCGTTTTTGCTCCTTTCAAACAATGAAAGAAACTTGCAGGGCCAAAAAAAAAAAAACCATCATGGAAAAAGAACGAAGTAAAGAAAGGAAGACAAAGCTTCGTGTTTCCTCAATTTTGAGATATTATATCTCTGATTTCAATAATAGAAAAGTATCACCTGACAAGAAGAACTATATATCTCGAGTACGCCGTGATATGAAGATTGATGCTTCGAATAATGTAACAACATTCAGTCCAAGTATACATTATCGAATCGAGTAATAAAATTGATGTAAATTAATGCATCGAGTATCGTATTCATAGAGACTACTATTAATCAAAGAATTGTTATAACATTGAGTAAGCAAAATAACAAGAATTGTGAAGTTGGTGTTGTGAACAAATCAATAAGAATTTAAAACTAAAATAGATGTGAGAATGAATATATGAAGGGATGAAGGGAACTATAGCAGTAGCAATGAAAGTAGTGGATCAGCTCAAGCTAAAGATTACGGTATTGTTAAATGCAACAAGCAATCAACGATGTCACAACAATAAGATCAATGTGTCTAGCATTAACTTAGCAGATTTCTCTCTCTCGATGGCTCCACTTAGAAACTCACAGAAGTGCTATATCTCTATACCCATTTATGCAAATTTACCAAGTATGATACAACAACCAGTCAGTTAAATCTCTCTACACTGATTCTTTAATCTCGCAATCGAATAAATGATAAACAAAATTAATTAAACATGAAATTCATAGAATAGATTAAAAATATAAGCATCCAAGGTTTAACAAATCTCACACGAGCTAAAGAGTATTTCAACTATGCAAAAGTAAACCCACTCTCAGATTCATTTCATCCTGGTTGTTGTTGATGCTATCGCCGATCACTCGCCACTACCCTTTCGGTGTAGTGACTTTGCCTTCACGTCCAACTGCTGCTGCTCTTCTTCAAGAGAATAAAAATGACGATAATAAAATCATCCATTCAATATCATTTAACTTAGTGACACCGTCTTAGTTATTTAAACACAATTAAACTAAAATATAAAATAAAAAGTATACATTTATAAAACTATAATAATACCTCATTTTTTATCTCTATAGATAAATAACTATCATTAAAATTTTAATTTTATTTAAGAAGATATATTATTTTCTAAAAAAATATTTTATCAAATAATCAAATTATAATCTCATTTAAAACTGAAACAAATTTTATTTTCTAAAAGAAAATAATAAAACTCTAAATATTAAACAACCTGGTATATGTTTAGACTAAGGGGACTAAGGGGACCAAGTCCCGTTGACTTAGGTCGTGCATGCATTGTTGATTTAAGTGGCTTTGCTTTATGTTGATAATATTGGGTTGGCTTCTTCTCTGCCACAAGAATTAGATCCTCCATGAATATCAAAGTAGTGGGTTTGGATTACCCATCGTCATCATCCTCTTTTCCTTTCTTCTGTGGGATTCCTCTCCCACGTTTAAAACCCAATAATGGCTGTCTCTTGTTCCCATATGTAATGGGATAAGGGGGAGGTAAGATAGTAGGCTGCCCCCAACACCAGGTTGAGAGCAACTTCCGTATAAGACTTCCGAATTATGAAATGCCCCCAATAGTTTTTTTTAATAATCCGACGTGATTACGAGGTAGAATCTGTTTAGAATCTTTCTTATTCATTGATAATGCATATATTTTATAGATACAATTACTCTAACGCGAGTCTTTTAGGGAGAACAACTCTCTCTTTTACCACTAAAATCACTTTAAGTTCGGATCCAATAAGACTTTTACCATGCTTGTCAGGTGAATGTCATGGATTATTAATTTATTATTTCATATGTCGATGGTAGAAAAAATATTCGATAACTTACGCGTTTAATACGTAAACTATCAGTTTTGATCCGTTTTTATAACTAAACTTTCATTTTTTTTTCAAAACCATCCTAAAGTTTAGTTCTCGTTTCACTTAGTACCCCGCTCAAAATTTAACATTAAGTTTTGGGGGAAATTTTGAAAATTCAAGTACTAAAATAGACTAAAACTGATAGTTTAGATACTAATCGCGTTAAGTTTTTGACGACGGGTTACTAAAATGAAACAAAACTAAACATTATGTATGATTTTGAAAAAATCAAAAGTGAAGTATTAAAACATATCAAAATTGATAGTTTAAGTATTAAATGCGTAGTTCATCCAAAAAAAATTATGAGTCGGATTTTATTGTTATGACCTAATTTTGGTATCGACTATAACGTGATATCCATTTTTTTTACGATTGGGTATCTAGTTTTTTTTAATGGTGCTTGTATGTTCTCAAATGACTAATTTATTGTATTAATAGTTATAAAAAATTCTAATTATATGTTTTATTTAAGAACCTTATTATAACTTTAAATATTTTCTATTTTTAATAAAATTAATGATTCTATTTGAATAAAAAAAATTAAATTATGGTTTATGAGTTATAAAAGATAATTTGATTTAATTTTTATCTAAAATAATTTTTAAATTTCAAAGTGTTTAATAAAACTATGAAAAATATTTAAAGACTATTTTAACAATGAAATTACTTAATACTATTGTAAATTCTTATTTGAACATCTTTTTCCTATGAATCTTGATTATATGTTCAAATAAGAATTCTTTCATCTTTGCATGGATTTAGGATCGTTGGAAGAGTAAAAATAAATGACTGATATTAATTTCTTATTTTTTTCCAGTGAATATCTTCTCGTTTTATGTATATTGAAAGATAAATTATCAATAATTTGATATTGAATGTTCGTACTCCTAACATTCATAGTACTCGAACTCGATGCCTCAAGGAATAACCGTAATTCATTTATCACTGAGGTCGCTTGGTTTGTGCATATATATATATATATATATGAACAATTGTTATTTTAAATTTTTATAATATAACATATTTCATTCAAATATTTTTATTGTTATTGTTCAATCTTTAACATTTAAAATATTTTATTACTTTATATTCCTATTGAATTACAGTTTGTAAAAAAATTAAATTAAATTAAAAATAACTAGATAAATTTCAATAAATATTAGTAATTTTTATTTTACATTCATTTTAAATTGCATTTTAATCTAAACTATTTAAATTTATATAAAAGAAGTAGATCTTATTTTAAATTATTTCTTAACTATAAAAATATTTTTATTATTATTTTAAAATTTAAAAAATATGATATATAAGGTCTAATAAATATTGAATTACACCTATATTTTTTAATTAATTATCATAAATGAATAAATATCTACTACATTTCATCAGCTGCATTATTTTTCTTATGGGTCCATTCTAACTACTTTGTACACTTCTTTTGCTTTATCTGGTTTTTGTTGCACAGCCTCTTATTATTCTTCTTATCATTCTTTTCCATGATTTTTCTTTTTTAAAAAGAAGAAGGGAAGAACTTGAAGAATAGATTCTCATGGCTGCTTTGTGATTCAAAGAACCAACGATCCACCATTTTTTCTGCATCAAGAACAACCATTATATTCTTCAAAAAGAAAGGGAAAAAAAATATACTTTTTCACTTTCAAAGGAAGAACAACCATTCGTTGTTCTTTCTCTTTGCCTTCCAATAATCTTCTTAGCTTCCTGTAATTCTTCTTATTGTTGTTGTTTTTGGAGAGTATGGAGACAAGGGTTCTTGATGGTATAATCAATAGGTTGCTTGAAGTTAGAGGCAAGCCAGGGAAGCAAGTCCAGCTCTCTGAGTCCGAAATAAGACAGCTTTGTCTTGTTTCTAAAGACATCTTCTTGATGCAGCCGATTCTGTTGGAGCTTGAAGCACCTATTAAGATCTGTGGTATCTTCTTCATTTTTTTTTCTCTCTGTTTAAAATTTGATTCTTTTTGAAGTTGGTTGCTTCTTGTTTATGTGTTTGAATTTGTAAAGTAGCTTGTTTTTGGTGTGTTTTGTTGTATGTTTTGTCACTGAAAATGTTCTGAATTTGGCATCCTATGACCTGTTTGTTGGAGTTTCTGACTGATGTTCATGAATTTGAATTCATATAGATTTTCTGCAATGTTTGATCTTTTCAGTTCTTTGTTCAAGTTTCAAAACCTTGAACCTTTGATGTTTAAATCGATGTTATTGTATGAATCAATTGAATTAAGTTCCGGCTTTAAAGATGTTGTGGTTAAATATCATACATCATACTGAATCTACACATATCATACATCATACTGAATCTACATCTTCATGAATTACCAGGAGACATTCATGGCCAGTACTCGGATCTCCTGAGGCTGTTCGAAAATGGCGGCTTCCCTCCTCGTGCCAATTACTTGTTCTTAGGGGACTACGTCGATCGGGGAAAGCAAAGTCTCGAAACCATCTGCCTTCTCCTTGCATACAAGATCAAATATCCCGAGAATTTTTTCCTGCTCCGGGGCAACCACGAATGTGCATCGGTGAACCGTACCTACGGTTTCTACGACGAGTGCAAACGGAGATTCAATGTCCGGTTATGGAAGGTGTTCACCGATTGTTTCAACTGCCTCCCCGTTGCGGCCCTGATCGAAGAAAAGATATTCTGCATGCATGGCGGACTGTCGCCGGAGCTATGCAATTTAGACCAGATTAGGAAGTTAAAGCGGCCCGTGGATGTTCCGGAATCTGGCTTACTATGTGATCTCCTATGGTCTGATCCTAGTAAAGACATTCAAGGCTGGGGGCCTAATGACAGGGGAGTTTCATACATATTTGGTCCTGATAGGGTGATTGATTGTCTCACGAAGCTTGACCTTGATTTAATTTGCCGTGCACACCAGGTTTCATATGCAGTTCACATCGAATCATTTGGTATAAAATGGTTATAGTCTTGGGTTCTTTTATCTCGTTAAACCGAATCTATACGCTTGCTTGCAGGTCGTCGAAGACGGATACGAGTTCTTTGCTAATAGGCAACTTGTAACCATATTTTCTGCACCAAATTACTGTGGAGAATTCGACAATGCGGCTGCCATGATGAGTGTGGATGAAACATTGATGTGTTCATTCCAAATATTGAAGCCTGCAGATAAGAAACCGAAATCCGGGTTCGGGACATTGACTTCAATCAAGTCTCCTACACCTCCATCTAGAATCAGGGTATACACAAAATTCCTTGTCCATAGTTTCAACAATTACAATGGTACACGAAATCGATAGTTACTCTTACATGGTGCTTGAATTTTTTTCTGTTTTTCCAGTCATTTCTTGGAGCAAAAGTATAATAAGAGGCTTATAACTGATGGAGATATCAAGAGCAAGTCGGCTGCTATCGATCAAAGGGGATATTTGGAAGATTTTACAACGTAAAACTCTTATGAAATCCGGTGATTTCCAGGACCCTTTATTTGTATATCAGTTTCAATATAATCTAACAAAGTCCTCTTTCCCTCTCATCATCTTTGTATTTAACCTCTGTGTTTTTTATTGTAATCAATGGATGAAAGTGAAAGAGGGATTGGTGATTACTCATTTGCTGCATTATTTCTTATGAATTAATTTAACACACTTGTGGTTGGAAAGGTTGTCCTGATGTTTGGAGCATTCCCAGCTTTGATCACGTATTACCGGTGCATGAAAATGCCCGAAACCACTAGGTACACTGCCTTGGTTGCCAAGAAAGCGAAACAGGCTGTGGCTGATATGTCGAAAGATATTCGGGTCGATTTGGAGTCAGAACCAGAGAAACTAGAACAAAACAAAGGGAACAGTTTCGGGTTGTTCTGCGCACAATTTCTTCGTCGACATGGACTTCACTTGCTTACCTAGATCACTTGGGTTCGTGCTAGACATTTCATTCTATAGTCAAAACCTGTTCCAAAAGGACATCTTTAGTGCCATTGGTTGGATTCCAAAGGCAAACATCATGCATGCCATTGAAGAAGTTTACAAAATTGCCAGAGCTCAAACAGTCATTGCACTATGTGCAGCACCGATCCTGGATATTGGTTCACTGTTGCATTAATCGATGAAGTCGGAAGATTCAAGATCCAAATTGATGGGATTTTTCTTCATGACAGTGTTCATGTTTGCATTGGCAATACCATAACACCATTGGACTCTACCGGACAACCGGATCAGATTCGTTGCCCTGTACTCGTTCACGTTCCTTTTTCACGAATTTTAGACCAAATGCCACTACATTTGTAGTCCCTGCTGAGATTGTCCCAGCAAGAGTGAGATCAACATGCCATGGAATATCGGCTGCATCAGGCAAGGCAGGGCAAATGTTGGCATGTTCGGTTTTCTGTATGCTGCTGATGCCATTGGAGTGAAATGGAACCGAAACACGTTCTGTCCAACCCGAAATCAACTTTAAATATATAAGTTGTTTTCGAAAATCGTTTTCTCTAACAGGAGAGGTTCAAAAGCACTGGAGTTCATCAACCAACAACTAATATTAACTAGCTAAACTATATTGAATCCTACAAGTCATCAAGATACAAGGGTTGATAAACAGATAGACAACTTTATTCATTTGCTAAGAGATGTAACCTTGATTACATAACCATAACTCGATTGTTTCCAAGAACACGAACCGGCCAATATTATCATGACTGAAATTACTAACCATTTTTGCTTGAAGTCTGTTCCAAGTCAATCTTTTCTTGCCATGGTCGGTTGAGATTGGATGATTCGTACTTCTGAAAAGGCCTGCAATAGGGTAAAGAGCTATACTGAGGAACGTAGAAGGACATTCTGCTAGTACTCTGCCACTTGGATGCTGAAGATTCAGCCGTTGAGCATAAGTCTTCTTTTCTTCCTGGGGTCCTCGGTTCTTTCTTCGGTTTATCCGCATGCAACGTTTCTTCTTCTGCAGGTTTTGCTCTTTTTTTCCTATTCAAGGAACCGTTGTAGCAATTCCGAAACGATGGTACCCTTTGATCATTAGACAAATATGTTGGACATGAAGACATATCCTTAGGACGACTTTCGGGATGGCAGTAGTACCGATACTATCAGAATTATCGAAAACTTCTTCATTCACCTGATCCGAAGTCGCGGATTTTGCAGCTGCTTCCATTTCCCATATTTTGAATATAGCTTCTCTCAGATGTGTCTATTATGGGTTTAGGATAGTTTAATCCCAACTCAGCTTTAAGCACAATAAGAGGTGCATCCCCTGGATGATGGATCCACTCGGTCGGCATTCTTGCCAACTCCGGCAGCCATTGCCTTACATTTCGCCATCGGGGTCGAAATTCGAGCCTTGAATCTGACTCGAAATATTAACATAAAATGAGGTCCAAAGATTAGTTTCAATTGACAAGATCCATCTCTATTTTACAGTTAATAAATTACGGAACACAACGCACCTGCGGCGAGTCTAATAGTTCCAGCTCTTGACCGTCCGGTAAGCTCCCAGAGATGTACTTCCAACCAAGAATGTCACATTCCAAATCTGCATCCAAAAGTGTGTCCCAGAAATACTTCATTCCCCATTTCCATGGTATAAGAAGAAACTTCACTGCAAAACTCGAGACGATCACTCTTATTCTGTTGTACATCCAACCAGTTGCCCAAAGCTCCCTCATGCCTGCATCGACCAACGGATACCCCGTCCGACATTGTCGCCAAGCCTTAAAACGGTTTGCATCGGCATTCCGAGGAAAATACTTCAGGCTGCTCAACAACGAACTCTCGAGAGCGAATGGGAAGTTGAAACAAAGATAACGAGAGTATTACCTTAGCCCAATGGCCTTCAAAAATAGAGTTACACTCTCTTCCCCTCGAGATTTCTATTCTCGTCTCCATTGTATCTGTTTCATATGTACGCACCGGAAAACTTTCCTCACACTTAGCTCTCCGAAATGAAGATATGGGGACAAAAGTGATGTGGTGTTGCCACCAACCTCGAACGACTCTTTGAATTGTCGAACAGATTCCGTTCGACAAACTCAGTTAAAGCCTTATCGGCATTGCTCCAACCCGGAGACCATCCTCTTCCTAACAATGCATTGCTAGATTTTTCAAATTCGTTTTCAATGCCCAAACCTTCAATAGAACATTTTTCAACAGTCCCTGTCACTAATAAGTGTTCAGCAACTACTCATTCTGCAATATGCATATACGTATATTCATACTTAAACACATAAATATGTATAAATCTATACATACATAAATATGTATAAACCTTCATCGTGTGCGTTGTCAACGAACTATGTTATATGTATTCATATTTACATATACGTATACGTTTACATCACTTGATTACATAATGTTTGGTTTAAATTTACCTGCAGCAGGCACCAATCTCCATGGTGGGAGAAGTGAAATGGGTTCCATTTGCATGTTCAAGAACTTGTCCCAATATGCATCAAAAGTAGTAAAAGCTCGTCCCTTCTCATCGTATATCTCCCATGGTTCATATAACAAATCTCCATTATACATTTGCACCGAGATGCGTACCTCTTTCAGTTTCTCTTTGACGTGATGATCGCGGACCAGTGAAACGGGATCAGGCAAAAGGACAGGGAAACATGACACATCTTAATTTGCAGATATCTAAGCATATGACTATAATCTTAAGTGTTTCACATGTTAACTGAAAATATTGCAGTGAATTTGGCATAAGAAGATTTGATCAGCTGAATCGGAACATACCGTAGAGATGATTGAATACTACTTTCGTCGCCTCGGTAGCTTTGATGCAATCTAAAAGAGCTGCAAGAGTACTTTGTGTCTTAATCAGCACAAGTTCAGCCCCAAGGGACTTCAAGGACTTCTGCAAATGAGCAAGAGATTGCTTCAGCCACCATCGTGACACTCGACCGGGATAGAACTGCCCTTCCTCTTTGGGGCACCATATGTAGACCGGAAATACACTGCCATCCCTTGCAGCAGCACCTAAAGCAGGATTGTCTTCAAACACTCTGCTAATATCCCAATCAGACCAACAACATGCATCTAAGATATCCAACCAAACCTAACTTTTAATTAAACCTTCCCTACCTGTCTCGGTTCGATCACCCAATTCGGCCAACCAAACTCTATAATTTTTCCCAAAATATCTCCAAATTCGAGACCTTGATGCAGACCTGCACTAACTCCACGAGAAAAAAAAAAAGCAATACTCTCCACTGTCACTTTGTCAAACAACCTTTTCGAACATGAACAACGTTCTTCATGAAGCTTCTAATGCTCTACAGACAGCGGAAGAAGATCAGATTTTTCAACAAAAAATACAGATCCAAGCTCCCCAAAAAAGTAAAATAAAGTGATTCCTTAATAATTCACATTAAAGAATGTTATCCACAAACAATGACAACTAAAACACACACACACTTCATGTATAGTATCTTTTAAGACAACTAAAAGTCTAGAACAAATAAACCGACCAAACCCTGTTTCTGCTTGAAGTAAATTTGTTGAATTTTTACCCCATTGATGCTAGAAACTCAGCAAGAACAGGCAAAAGAGCTTGAAACTCATGCAACCGGCAAGACCTTTACGGCAAGTGAGGCAGTCGTTTGTATGAAGATCACGTGGGAGTAGTATGATATTGTCCGCTTTGTAGATCGAGTCTGTAAATTTCTCTCAAAGACGGGAGATATGGAACGAAAATGACAGAAGAAAGCTTAGATACATGAACAAATGAATTTGGGCAAGTCCATCCCCTACAGCATCTGGTTCTTTTCCCATACACTCGAGTCAGCTGCTGAGTCAGCATCTGGTTCTTTTCCATCATCAATCAGCAGCAGCAGCAGCATTTAAGATCAACTGTGTTTCTAATTACTGTGGGAACATCATATTAGTTTCCATGAATGAACTTCAAGTTTAGTTTAATCATTTTATGTTGCAGTGTGTTTTACCAGCCGAGCTTGGTGAAATTCTGTCCTTGGTGTTCCAATTGAGAATGGTCAATAAGTTTCGCTGTTGCAGGCATACATGTCAATAAAGGCTGAACTAATTGCATCACATGTCCCCAAACCATGACTTGTTTTAGATTGGTCCTCAAACATTTGAATATTCTAATTTCATCCTCAAATTATGACTCTCATTTTAAATTAATCCTTAAAACATTTCAATTTCATCCCCAAATTATAACCCTCATTCTAAATTGGCCCTCAAACTTTTGAATCTTCCTATCTCATCCTTGTATTGATCCAAATATATAATTAGTTTTAACCGTAGTTTAACTTGAAATTTATTTTTTTCAAACATATAATAATATAGTTGGCCTAACAGTTTTATTAAAAGGAGATTTGATTAGCATATACTTATAGCTTGGGATGAAATCAAAATGTTCAAAAAGTTTAAGGACCAATTTAGAAGTCATAATTTGGGGATGAAATTAAAATATTCAGAATTTGAGGGTAAGTTTAAAATGAGAGTCATAGTCTAGAATGAAATTGGAATATTCAAAATCCTCTACCGTTATTTGCAGAGTATTCCCCAGTCTCACCATGATCGTGCAAATGTGCTGCACCTTCCATTTGTCTTGGCAGAAATCGATTGCACAAAAATGGACATGGCAAGGCTGTCTCAAAAGTACATGTATCTGAGATAGTTACTCCGATTTAACAAAGACTGCTTTTTAATTCAGAGTTCGACAGGATGGTAAAATTTGCTCATTTCTATACTAATATTTAATCCGCTTTAAAGCTCTTTTTAGACGTCCTTCAATTCGGCATTCTCTGTTGCAGATGGAAGCTCCGATTTCGGCTCGGCTCGGTCTACGGGTGGAGGCTTAGCTGCTCATGGCCAGTGAGTGTGCATCGCTTATTATTCTTTCATAGGGAAACTGAAGAAGGGAAAAACCGCCTCATTTGCAAGAGACGGGAAGAGAACCAGGGAGTGAACAAGATTTTGATGATGAAGATGTTAATTCTTAATAGTAGACAATAGTGTCGCTTATCCCATTTAAAATTGAAGCTAACA